CTCTTCTCAAAACATGGCTGAAAAATGATGACTGTCTCCTTCTGATGTCTGTGATAAGTTGTCTTCGGGCTCCCGCCTCTTTCAAAACCTCTTGGTTGCTCTTTTTGGCTGTCCAAGGTATTCTAAGCATTCTTCTGTAAAACCACATCTCTGAGGCCTCAAGAAATTGTTTGGCCTGCCTATCGATTATCCGGGATTCACAGCCATATGTTAAAACTGGATGTATGTAGCAAGCAAGCATTATTTTTCTAACTCTCTATGACAAGGATATATTGCACAAGATATTCTTCACTACTATATATATATATATATATATATATATATATATATATATATATATTATATATATATATATATATATATATAATTAAGACAATTTTTCTGAAACCTGCCCCAGAACAGAAAATCTGCAAAGGGGCTAAGTGCAACTCCCCCCCCCACATGTAAAGGTGTTTTATTTGGAAGTATTTTATAGATTTCATATTATGATAGTTATTTACCATTTGTCGGCTCTGTGGCTAAGTCGATGCGGACGCTTCGTGATGCCGGGTTCGATCCCAGCTGCGGGCCATGCGCCTTGCTTGGTTTCGACAGTGGTATCAGGGGTCCGACCATTCAGAGGGCAATGGCAAACTACTGGACGTAAATTTGCCTAGAGAAACCACACAACAGCCAGGGGCTGCTGGGCTTGGTTTTGCAACGTCATGTAAAGGATACGCAACTAACATATTTACCATTCAGCAGAGAATAATAATTATTATGTACTTAAACAAGACCTAGGTCCCTTGAGTCTCCGTCTCTATAAAATTATGAGGGGCACCCCCCCCTTTCCAGTCTTTCTGTCTGGTGGCGCTAGTAAACCAAGCTACTGTCGGCACAGCTCGTGAGATCACAGACACTCACCACACCAATGTAGAGAGAGACACACATCAGGCGTGTGAGTTCAAATAATCTCAACATACCATGATTCTTAAACTGCTTATCATAAAATGCGTTGCTATTTTATTTTGTACTGTCTGTTGCTGGTGTGAATGTCTCGATAACAGTATGGTTACCATGCATAGATGAACATATACAAAATCACACAAAAGAATAGTCAAATATTTAGTTTATTCAGCAAATATGGTGCAGAAATCTGGACAACATACACCTAAATAGAAAGCCAAATTGAGGCTAAAGAGAGGTACACTTTATCATCATCAAGTGTCTTGTCAACTGGTATGCTGCTGCACATTATGCCATTTCTAACTATGAATATTAATTTGGTACATTATTCCTTGCACTGACGTATGGCTTTCCTATAATCTTTCCAGGTGCCACATTTAAAAAAAACAAAAACGCTCTCTTAACGTGACAAAAAAAGGAAGATGGCTTTTTTCACACTGGAAATTCAGACAACAATGTCTCATTTCAGGGAATGGAAGGAAAAAAAAAACAATCTCAAGTTCTAAGGCACCTGAAAAATGAACACAACTGATGATATGAAATATTTCATTTCTTTTTCTTCTTTCATTCCCCAGCTGTAAACTCCAGCTTCAATTTCTGTTTTTTATCCACTTTTGAACTTAGATCTTGTTACAGAACTTGAGTTTTGCGTCCACATGGGATTTACAGACCTGGCTTTGTATGCAGACTGTTGGTGCCTCAACTATCCGGCAGAGGCCCTCCTAATTTAAAGCAAACACCACTAATTTAGCTGCTTTTTACAACACACTAGTTAGGGAGTGGCGTGTCTATTTTTTTCTTGCCAAAACAGGGACCCAGAACCCACATAGGGAAAACAGTTCATTGAAAGACATGACCTGCAATACTGACAACACCACATGGAGAGTACTAGAGGGACAGTTTTGGTGCAAGTATAATATGCCCAGAACACATCAAGAAATGAAAACAGGTTGTTTTAACATCTTAAACAAGACGTAGCACTCTTAAAAAAAAAAAAAAACTACACGTAAGGAATAGTTAAAGAAAGAAGAGCAATTAGAAATGACAGTGAATATAATATGAAGACATTTACTAACAAACTATTTAGGTAAAAGCCCATTTTCATTACTGAATGGTTTGTGGATATCTAAAAGATATAAAGGGTTCTAATGGTTGTGGAATCATTATGTCTCTTAGGGTGTAAGTTTGCATACAACATCCAAGTTTATAATGGTCACACATCTCCGTGTGGGTTCCCAGGCCTCATTGTGGAGAAAACTAGAACAGACCCACTGCCTACTCAAAAGCATATCGTAAGAGATGACTAATTGGGAGCTTCCTTCGAAGTCAAGAGTAAATCTGCCTGAGAGGAAAGGAACCAACAGTCTGCATGAAAATGAGTAGAACAGTAGAAGCAACAACATTGATGAAAGGAATGAATGATTGTCTTGCTATGAATCCACTTCAACAACCCCAGCAGTCCTTCAGTAATCATAATAGATGTAATATCTCAACTATCAGCACCTGGTAGTAACAGGGTTAACTACTGCATCTTCTGAACTCAGAGCTGCACTGGATATGTATATATATGTGTGCATTTGTACCTGTGTTGTGGTATGTATATTTAAATATATGCGTTAACCATCCATGCTTTTGTGTATTTTACTTGATATAGTATGCATATTATTAAGCGAACACAACATGCTTTAAAGATAAAATACAACTGCAGTAGGAAAGATAAATGTTTGGAAGGTCAGAATGTAAGTTGGGTTTGCATATAAAATTGGTGACCCTTTGAAAATAAAGTTAGTTCATTTTGTTTTCTTTTGTTTGTATCACACACTGTTCCCAGTAGAAGAAACACACACTCATAAGACAACTGCATGATAGCATAAATACCTAAATGTACTGTCCACCGGCAGAAAATTGAATAGCCACAATCTTACTATTCTGTCAACAGTAACTTGTACACTTCACCATCATCTTCGCACACTTGAGGCTAAAACTCATTTGACCCGTCTTTTTCACTGAGTACATCCTTATCCACCAACAACTGTTCCCTCAGTGTTTTCTCCTGTAACTCCCAAACGAATCAATCACCAGCAAGTTTCAGGAGTATTTACAAGGGCACTCTTTCCCCCTGATGCTTAATATTGGTAACAGAACACCCATCCTGTTGTACTTCTTACCCTTTCAGTATATGTTCATATTAGAACTTACAACATAAACACAGTTTACAGCACTTCTTTAAGTCTATGCTGTGTAGTCATATCTATCCACAACCTTCTGTCTTGCATACTTTCAATCAACTCCGACACAGATGATACTTCCTGCCATGGGATCAAACTGTCCAGCGTCTGTTCTCTTGGTCTCCTTCTGCCTCTCCTCCCCTCCAGCTTTTTTACTGTCATGATGTACTCCAGTCTTCTCCTTCTCATGACATGATCAAAGAATGTAGATTAGTCTCTTTCTAATGTGGGCATTCAGTTCTCTTTGTGAGTCAGTTTCTTTCAAGATATCCTCATTACACTTTTTATCTGTACAGGTTAATCTCAATATTTATCTATAGAACCACATCTCCATAGCTTCCAAATAATTTTTCACTGATCTACCAACTGTGCATGATTCAGTTCCATGCACAGTGAAATAAAAAAAATTAATCCGCCATCTTCAAAAGGGAGACTTCCCTGTGTGAGTTCCTAGGCCCTATTATAGGGAAAACAAGAACAGACCCACTGCCTGACCAAAAGCATGTCGTAAAAGTCGACTAATTGGGAGCTTCCTTCAAAGTCAGAGTGCATCTGCCTGAGGCAAGGAGCCAGTAGTCTGCATACAAATGAGTCAGATCTGTAAAACGGATGCACACGCAACACTCAGGTTCTGGAACAGGACTGTAGTCAAGAAGTGGATGAGCAACTATAACTTTCCACTAGAATTTACAGCTGGTGATCGCGAAGAAGAAGAAGAAAATAGAGACTGGCTGCAGTTGATATGTGCATGTGCACCTCCTACTGTCTATGGGAACAGTATATGGCGAGGCCCAGTCTCCTCTATGGACTCTCATACCCAGGGCTTTTTTCTGGTCAGCGGCATGTAATGGTATACAGTACTGGAACCTTTTTTTTCAGGCCTCATTTATTCAGTGCTATTATAACAGATGCGAGCCACTGTGGTGTAGCTGCTAGATACCTGCAGATCCGTGGGTTAAGGTCCTTATTGAGTTGGACGTTGTTTTTTTTCTTTCAAAAATGACCTTGGCTCCCAGCCTTAAATGGATACCAAAAAAATCCTGGGAAGTAAAGGCGGCCAGCATGATGTTGACCATATCACCCACTGAGTGCCCATTGGTCTATAAAATGTAGGTCTAGCCCTATTTGCGCAAAATCCATGAAAGCGTGGAAAAGTGTCATTCACTCTACTTTACTTAGTGTAATAGACAGTTTGTGGTGATTATCGGCACCTTTGTTAGACTCCTTGTGGTGAGTACTATAACCTCCACCCCCCCCCCCCCCCACCCAGAAAATAGACCTGCTCATACCATTGTTGAGAAGGCAAGAGAACTGTTTTTTTTTGGTAAAATCTCAAACCACGCAAATTAAACTTTTATGTGAGCCTCCGTGTGGGTTCCGGGGCCCTATTGTGGGGAAAACAAGAATAGACCCACTGCCTCCCCAAAAGCATGTCGTAAGAGTCGACTAACTGGGGAGCTTCCTTTGAAGTCGGAGTGCATCTGCCTGAGAGGCAAGGAACCAGCAGTCTGCATTCAATTGAATCAGATCTGTAAAACTGATGCACATGCAACAATCAGGTTCTGGAACATGACTGCAGTCATAAAGTGGACGAACAGCCAGAACTTTACGCCAGAGTGTACAGCTGGTGAACACAAAGAAGAAGAAGAAACTTTTATGTCGAGGACTGTGAAGCGCATTAACTTATCTCTAAGTCACAGAACAGCACAGTAGCTCCAAACTATTTAGCACACTGTTGCGTGGCAATTACTATAAGTCCAACTAGACTAGTTATTAAACAAAAACAACAAGAATGTCAACAACAGTAGTAATAAATGTTACTCCCGACTAGTGGGTCGGTGCTAAATACAATGTATAATAAGCCCAAGGCTCTGGGACATATAAAAGTCCAGGATACTTCTGTCTTAACACTTGATCATCCCATAGCCAACATGACCACGCTGCTGTCAGGATGATAGTTAGTGTGAATGTCCACAGAAGAAAATGTCCGTTCAAATCACTGTAGAGGCCTTGGTAAGACTTCACAGCCCAGACAGCCAGCATAGCAAAAAATGTCAGCAAGAACAGTGGAAAAATCTGGCCTTCTGTTGCAAGGTACCTGTTAATAAAAATGTCACATTATTTCTTGTTAAATAATTTCCTAACATATCATAGCTGATTAGGAAAAAAAGTAATGCCCTAATTATATACTAGATCTTTCATACCCCCCCCCTCTTCCTCAGTGTTCGACTGTTCTTTACGGCATACATTAGGACAGGGGTTCTCAAAGTGGGTGCCGCCATCCTATGCCAGGGGTGCAGCGGCAATAATCAAGAATTTTTCCAGATCTGCTTGAGATAATCGTGGACAGCAGTTTATAACAGAAATACTATGAAGGAAGCCAAGAAGAGTTCTGGAGGCAGATGTATTCAGAAAACAATGCTATTGGCAAGGCTGCAGTTCATCTCAATGTTCCTTACATTAAAAAACAGAGAGCAACAACCTTCAAATAACTAAACTTCCCATGATCATAAAGGAAATTATGAAAATTTCATCCTAACAGTTTCATTCATAGCATTAAAGACAAAGGAACATACTGCTTTTTTCCTAAGTATTCAGACCACTTTAGGATAGGTGTGCCGCAAACATTTTTTTTTGCCCAACAAGGGTGCCCTGGCAAAAAAAAAAAGTGTGAGAAACGGTGGTTTACGGGTACTACTTTTTGACATGTACATTAACTTTCAACTGGACAAAATGGTCTTCATGAATCAAATATACCAATAAAAAATAACTATTTTCTAGTGCTGACATTTCTGATAGTTTCCTTATGTATTTATTTGCAGTGTTAAAAACAGTAAAATTGTTTTCCTTTGTGACTGCATGTCAGTCCTCCGTCAGACTCATAGGGATCCACGAGACAACATGGAAAGAGAACTGACCCGCCAGCTAAACAGACTCACAGGAAACAATCAAATCGTTCTCCAGTGGATCCTGGCTCACTGGGGCATACCAGGAAATGAGTTAGCAGACAGACTTGCAAAAAATTACCAGAAATCAGAACACTTTAAGGGAAAATACAAGGAAATTATGAAGAGAACAAACTAACAATAAACATCCACAAGACCTCATCAGCAGACTCAACAGAAAGCAACATACAACAATTTTTCATCTATGAACAGGAAACTGCAGGCTCAACTACCACATGCATAAAATAAAGATTGTACAGTCCCCACAGTGTGGCTGTCAAACAAGACCACAAACACCTGAGCTCATTCTGCAGACCTGCCCACTCTACCTACAACATCGAAAAGACACCTGGCCTCAAGAGCAAAGTGTGCAGAGCAAGCTATGCGGAACCATGAAGGACCTGCTGCTGACATGCGAGTACATAGAGGCAACCCACCTGATGGTCTGATCTGAGCATACGAAGCTGAGCGCAAAGAAGAAGAAGAAAAAGATTTCTAGTGTATGCTACTGGCTTTGCCGAGAGTGCAGTCTGTAAAATTTTTTTTCCACAACTGACAGCAATGGGAATTCTGTGTGGTTTTTGCTGGCACAGAAACGTAGCAACTATGTGCTGACCCATTTGCCATAAAATTTGAACTTAAATTAACTGATTAACTCTTTACCCTTTATAAAATCAACCCTATAGCCAAAATGATTCTTCATCACTATCCATTGGCATCCTCATTCATCAGTAATTACCAAAAAATGATGTCGCTGTTTTGTTACATTTGCATGGATGAATTCTACTTAAAAAAAATATGAGCTACTTTTATAAATTCAAATAATAGGGATAATCATAACATTACAATACATTACAAATGAGTTATGAGAAAACAAATATATTAAAGATAACAACAAAAGAGATCATGTAGATGTCATGCAAGAGAACAAACCAATACAAGTAACAGACCATTTCATTTAGTTGGGTAGCAATTTTGACTCAAGGAGATACAACAAAGCAAATTATGATACACATTAGCAAAGCAAAAACATTCTTTAAAAAACCTGAACACAAAATGAAGCTCCGAGTTGTACAGCTTCAAGACCAAACTACGAATCTTTAATTCTAATGGTATTTCAATTCTAACATATGCTAGTGAAAGCCAGAGAACTGCCAAAGATATGGATCAAAAGTTAAATATATTTGAAAATAAATAAATGAGAAAAAGCAAGAACATAAAATGGGATGAATTTGAAAAAAGTGAGATCAGAGAAAAGTCTGGAAAAATACCTGTATCGACTGCAATAAGACAAAGAAAATGGAAATATATTGGGCACATTCTGAGATGAAATGAGCAAAGAATTACAAAACATGCACTAAAATGGGAAACATGGTCTGAGAAAAAGAGGAAATCCAAGAAAAACATTCAGAAGAACATTATTACGAGAAATCGAGAGAGTTGCATGCAACAGAACAGATTGGAGGAATCGAATGCAAACCCTATGTGATGTCATAGCATTAGACCCCCCCAAAAAAAATATGATAGAGATTAAGGGCAATATAGGCCATAAAGGGAGTCCCCACGGCTAGACACTCTCCGTGGATAGGAAGGACATGGGTTCGCTCCCTGGTGGAGCCAGACTTTTTTCAAAAATGACTTTGGCTCCCAGGTCGACCCAGCCTTGAGTGGGGAAGTAGAGGCGGCTGGCGTGATGCTGACCACATTACCCATCTTGTGCTGATTGGTCTATAAAAATGTAGGTCTAGCCCTATATGTCCTATACGCCTAAAGGCGTGGAAAAGGGTCCTTTACTTGACTTATTGGCCACAAAACAAATGCACTTCAGAAGAGGACACATAATTTAATTGTAATAAGTCACTTTGATTGAATTCTAGAAAGACAGGACAGAAATTTTAAGTTGAAACCTTTTCTGTTTCTTGTCACTGAATCTTGGAATGAGAGTGAATAAATCAGAAAGCATTAAGAGGCAGCAGATTATCTGGTCGTAACTGCCTTGGACAGTTGGAATGACAAACTATTATTGCCTTGAAAAACCTAATAAAAGTCGAAATTTGCATCTGGTTATACACAAAGAAACATTTTTCTTTGGTCATGTGATGAGAAAAGAAGCATTAATAATGTCAGAAAAACTGGAAACAGCAGAGAAAGATCAAAATTTGTTGGGATGATCTAAGGGAGTTATAAGGAGGAATGACAGCATAGAATTGATCTAGAACTAGGCGGATGATATCGGTAGAGAGATATGACTGTTTTTGCCATTAAATAATGCACACAATGATGATGTTGAGTTATATTTCAGGGGAAATAATTACACCCAACTTTAGGCATACATTCAAAAGCAAATAAATAATATATAATTATCATATTTTACCTTTCCTTATTTATGTGTATATGTAATAAATATGTATTCATGATATTTAACATAGCTGTTTATTCAAGACATAATTGGAATGAAAAAGATGAAGTTAACGTGGAAAGGATCAACTTCATTGCTCTGGGTTTTATCCTAAACAGCTTGATCTCTCTTTACATAATGACTAGCTGCCTGCTGAGAGCATCATACAGGGCACAAACTCTGTAGCTCCAGTGACAAACCTCCAGGGATCTCTGTAAAAACTGCACTTAAGAACTGAACAGCGTGCCTGTGAAATGAACCAACAACCGTCAGAAAACCTGGCAAATGGCTTGATCAATTCGCTGGTGGGCAAGAGTGCTGGCCACTAGATTGCTGTTAGCACTAAACAAACAAGCGCTAGGCCAACACAAACAACAAAACAACTCACCAATAATATACACCGCTGACTAGAACCAGCAGCAGCCAAGCAAAACCAGCCCATTTGGCCTTGTTTTGGAGCTAAAGCAGCCCATGTAGTAGAGAAACAGACACAGGAAGAAAGGAATGTACCTGTACACGAGAGATGGATATAACCAAAATGTTAGTCTTCCTTCGTGTCATAATTTATTTTTTTTAAATTTAGAATGTTTACAGCAAACTACTGTTGGGGCAACATTGGCCAGTGTCCAGTGGGTTTGCATGCCATTTGGATTCCTTCTGAAGGTCTACCATCATATTCAAGTTAAGTAAGAACATTTTTGAGAGACATCCTACCATACATTGCTACAACAATTCAATCTAACTTTGAAGAAATTATGGGGATGACGTCTGTTAAAGTGTTTATGCTTTTTGTTGTTGTCAGCTCTAAATAAATCTTGTGAAAACAAATATGCTGTTAGATTTTGTTAAAATATTGTGATTAAAGTACAACCAAATTATGACTCTCTGTCTATCCTGTGGATTCTTCTCCGAAGATGTAATTGAGCTGTGCCTGTTTCCAGCATGGTTGTGATATCTGAGCCTTTTGGCCGAAACATCCGACCTCTGCAGGCATTTGTTGACCAGGTTAGTCTTCCAGGTTAGTTTTGCGGGACACTGCAGTCTCATTGTTGTGTGGTCATCTTTGTTCTCCAGGTGGTGCCCCATATCAGGCAGGTCCAGAGAAGCCACATAATGCTGGTATCCCTCATGGCAGATTGTATAACTGGGTGAAATACTTTCTGATAGATAGAACAATCCAGACTAAGATACACGACGCAATCTCTTCTAAAGAAGTCTTGCAGGAGGGCTTGCCACAAGGCTTATCACTGAGCTTTACACTGTTTCTAATCTTTATCCATGACTTGCCAGAACAAATCAAGGCCGAAAAAGCCTTGTACGCTGATGACCTAGCAATATGGCACAGTCATGAAAATGTGGAAAGTGCAGCCCAAAGACTGAATGGAGACCTTAGAAGACTGCATGAGTACTGCCAAAGATGGAAACTCAAGGTTAACTGAGCAAAGACGGTCTACACAATCTTTACCAAAAGCCATCAAGTATCAAGGAAGAATATTAACCTGAGGTTATACAAACATCAAGTGATGAAAGAAGAGCATCCTACATACTTGGAGTCACACTTGACCGGCAGCTCAGCCTCAAGAACCATATTAAAAACGTAGGGAATAAGGCATTGAGGCGGTTACAGTTATTAAAGAGACTTGCAGGTACATCAGGGGGATCAGACAAGGAAACTCTGTGGGGCTTATATCTAGGATATGTTCGCTCTGTGAGTACAACAACTCACTGCTTACAACCTGCTCCAAAACTAACCTAGAGACTCTTGACAGAGTACAAAATAATGCCCTCCGATTAATCTGCGGAGCTATGCGGTCTACACCAACTGCTGCATGTGAAATCCATACAAATGTGGAACCCCTCTGGTTGCGGAGAGAAAAAGCCACTTTAGAAATTTATGGAAGATGCGTTAGAAAGAATCGTAACCATCCTAATAGACACCATGTAGAAAACTGGGAACACAAACAAAGAATAAAGCACAAATCAGTTTTACACTGTGTTCATGAAATTCAGGACAGATACCACCTCCCAGAAAGACGTCAAGGCATTCAGAATGTTGCAAGAAACCTACCACCACATGCCCGCTTTAAAACTCCAGAAGTCCGAATTAAATTAGTAGGCGAGGAAACCAAACAGTCCGACCCAATCGCTCTTATGAACTCATCACTAAAGACCGTTGATTCTTACCCCAAAGAATGGATACATGTTTATACTGATGGATCTGCATTTAAAGCTACCATTAAAGCCGGTTACAGAATCTACATAGGTTATCCCGATGGATCTGTTGAAGAGATTTTTGATGCATGCGGGGAATTCTGTTCAAATTATGAAGCCGAAATAATTGCACTGGAAACAGCAGTATATCACCTAAAGACTGTAATGGATGTTTACCCTTCAAAGGCCCAAAATATTATCTTCACAGATTCAATGTCTGCCCTTCAAGCTCTGGAGGGCAGTGAACGCTGCAGAACTGACATAGCCAAGATAATCCTGGATGCTGAGCAGCTTATTACCTCATACAACATCAGAATAGTGATGCAGTGGATTTCAGGCCACTCCGGCACATCAGGTAATGACAGAGCTGACAGACTGGCAAAGAGAGGAGTAACACAAGAACAACCCTACAGACAGCAAAAAAAACTTATAAGAGCTATAAACAAAGTTGGTTGAACAGATGGGCCATGGGAGACACTGGACGAGAGGTTTATAGACATATGGCTGGCCCTGATCCTAATGACAGCATTAACCATCTAACAAGAGGGGACCAGGCCACCATCTTCAGACTTAGAACACAACATACTCCACTCAGTGGACATCTAAACAGTATACAGCCACAACACTCCCCAGAGTGCCAGCTAAGTAACTACCCCTACGAAACTGTTGAACACCATCTCTTTGAGGGCCAAAAACTCAGCGAGACTAAAAGAATGCTACTCCCTCCGAGACCAGACAAGTGTAACACCTTGTACGGAGGAAAAGAACAGCTTGTTAAAACATGCAAATTCCACTACATGGCATTGGGCCAAAGGGTGATAGCTCATGTGCCACTGGATTAATAACAACAACATCAAGCCCTCAAGAGAAGGCAGGGGCAGAACATGAGCATTTCTCACCATCCAGGGGGACTTCCATAATTGCAGAGCCAATACATGATGCCCTGGTACTGGGTCAACGTCTTGCTCATGACCTTTTAACCCTTAGTTCCATATATTGAACAGCTCATTCATCATGGGCTAGGTCTTTAGAAACCAGCAATAGACAGCCTGTAGACCTGGGATTTCAATTTCATACACCCAATGAGTACTTTGTTTTTTTTTGCATGTTAAACTTTTACTGCAGTGAACTTCCACGTCCACCATAGTTTCATATGACATTTCCCACGTAGATGCTTAGGGGCATCCAGTTGGGCAGTATATGGACAGATGGGTCTGTTTAATTTTCTTCCCAACTCATGGTTTATGAACTCTGTATCAATGTGGACTATCAGCTCATAGAATCCCTGACAGTTGTCTGTTTCTGATACCTTTAGATGTCAGTGTGAATTCTATGGATTCTAGGGCCCCATTCTGGGGGTGGAGGGAATAGAACCACTGCTTCTTAACAACCATGTCATAAATGTAACTAAATTAATAGTTTTCTGAAATTGGATGTGCTGGGTCAAAAGACAAAGATATCCTAGCCTAGGTATAAACCACAACATAAAGTGCCAACAGCCCTTTAAGGGTGAGTCAAGAAGATTCTTTATCAGCTTGGCAAATTGTCCCCCCCTTTCTTCACGCCATTTTGGATTATGTTCAGTCTGATATATTATGTTAATCATAAATTTTATAATGAAAACTCACCACATGAGATGACCAATCTCTTCATCATATCTGTAAAGCAGTTCAAAAGACTTCACCTACCAACAGACATGACTATCAAAAATACATAGCAGCAATTATTAGGCTAAATAACGCATAAATAGTTAGTTAATGAAGTGAAAATACCACATACATTGGTAATTATGGCACACAGTATCGCACATCTGATAAGAAATGTTAAGATAATCACAGTTCTAACTTCATAGAAAATAGGTCACCGCAAAGTTACTCCATTTCTTTGCCAAAGAAAACCATACAGAATGCCCATCATTGCTTCGTGAAAAAAAATTAACACAGACTGCAGTCTCAGCAAAGCCACAAACATAACACACATGCATTAAATGCATAAGGCAGCCATCAGAAGTGCTGACACAAAAGGTACTACAAGTGCAGTTCATTGTCAACAGAAGCAGAGGTTACAACAGATCAGTAGTTTAGGTTTAGATGACTGATCAACATCATGGCACAAAGGTAGTAAACCCATAAGTGCTCCGTTCTACATCTGACTCAAGCCTGAGTCTGAAGAATCTCAGTGCAGTGCACAAACTCTGTAGCACCGGTGAGGATCCTGAAATACTTTGGGTAGATTTTTAACTCTAAATTTTGCCCAGGGCAGCCCCGTTAGGCTACTCTTTTTTAACTTCCAACTGCCAAGGGATTTTTTTACATGCACAATACACACAAGTGACTGATCTTACTACCCAGAGACCAGGGGAAATTACTACAAGTCCACGAGAAAAAATCCCAGCCTTCCCCGGGGCTTGAACCTGGGACCTCCAGCATTTGAGGTGGACACCATGCCTCAAGACCACGCAGTCTCCAAGATCAGTAGTTGCACATGCATTTAATTGCATAAGATACCATGAGTTCTCTGGTAACATACCATTTTCTGAACCTGCTGTTACAATACAAAGCACTTTGGGCACACTCAAATAAATAAGCATTCTAAATAAATGTACTCACCTCAGTAGATGGGTGAAGGAACTATAAACTGTAAGTCTACATATAAAGACAAATGTAACGGCTAACAACTGTCTGAAGCAAAAAATTGCCATCACTAAAACAACATGTCTGCCTTATTCACAAGATCAAACCAGAACATGTTTATCACTATAATTAACAGGTGCTGCATGATCAATTGAGCTTCACGGCTCAAGAGATCTCAGAGGAAATGAATCAGTTTGTGTGCTGACATACTGATAAAAGGTTAGGAGCCGCAGTAGCTAGATGCCTGCCAGTGGGTCTATTCTTGTTTTCCCCACAATGGGGCCCCGGAACCCAGCAGGAAATGAATTTTGCATCTACAGAAGTCGCAGTAGCTAGTCAGATTTGGCAAAAAGTCAGATTGAAAAAAAAAAAGATCTTGCCTCCCAGGTCAACCCAGTCTATAACTGGTACTAGGTAAAATCTCTGGGAAGTAAAGGTGGCCAGCATGATACTGAGCACTTCATCTCATCCACCCAGTTCTGAATATTATATACAATTATGAGTCTAGCACCATATGCCTAAAGTGAGACTGGCACAGAAAGTTTCCTTTACACTGTTCATTGTTCATTTTAGAGATCATCTTCATCGCACATAGGACATGACCATAAGTGCTCCGACTCCTCCTCACTATGTCTTCAAGTGTTTTTAGGCTAACAGCTCCCTTTCTGTTCTGGCTGATGTAATGACAGGTGGCTCCAGCTTGGTTTTTCTGTCTCGCTGCTCCAATTGGTACTTTACTTTGATGAAAGGTTAACGAGAATTTTCGTTCGCTGTCTTCCATATCTCGATGTCCATAAATTTTCGTACTACCAGAAAGAGTAACAACTTGTATTTAAAAAAGTGCTCTAGTTTGTTTATCAGAGATGTAATCAAATCTCATTATATTTGAATCGTGCTGCGAGGAACGACCAGGGGATCAACACCCAGGGGAAAGTGAGACAGATACACAATCATACTGTTATTAGTGCCATCAGAACTGGAACTCTGTGTTTGTTGCTGAAGAAGGGGATACAGCATTTATGGGAACATCCCGAGTGCGGTCATGTCAATTCTTAATTCAACAATCAACATTCTGATAACATGTATAAAAATAATAAAACTAAAGACAAACAGAAAAGTTTTAAATTATAAAAGACACAAATACATCCATACCAGTTCCTTGGGCTTAAGGTTTTTCATGATTGGGTTTTCAGCCACACTGAGATGGTTCTTATACCCTAGATGAATCAATCTATGGTTGACCGAATCTCCCACCAAATGCATACTGGCACCCATGACAAAGATGATCACACTAAGATGTGTAAAGTTAGAGGACAGAGGTTGTTTGCTGCGCCCCAGGAGCTGAAAAAAATCCATTTTTTTGTTGAATTTGAATTTTGAATTATTAATCTACATCATAGCACTCAGGACACTTCCATAAGCGCTCCATCTTCATCTTCAGCAGCAAGCGAAGAGTTCCAATTATGATGGCACCAGTAACTGTCTGTCTGTATATCCGTCTCGCCCTTCCCTTGAGTGTCTGCCAGATTCCCTGGTAACTCCACATAGCACCATTCTCCTCAGACAGTATTGAGCTATCTGTGCCTCTGCACTGTTCACTCGCTCCCAAAGAGCCCCTGCAATATCTAGCTTGTCATATATCACTTCACCACCAAGTGGCGCAGAGCCAGCCAGTCTATCTGCCTGCTCATTTCCCAACACACCGGCATTGCCTGGAGAAAATATCCAAAAGATGCTAACTACCCGGGACCTCTGAATTGATGCTTGCCACTCTGCACAGAACATGCCTGTCTCCACCTTTCTCAACAGGCTCTGTGACTTTACCTCCATTCTCCAACTTGACTTTGATAAAATAAAAAAAAACCCAGATAAAATAACATTCTCCACATGACACCATGAAGATTGCAAAATAAATAATATAGAATATGTGATCAACTTTGTGTTGCATCAAAGCGCCATGGACCGTGCTTGCATGGAGGCGACACATCAGGAAGGGAATGAGATTGAAGGAAGAAATGATTGCAGAAAGGATGAGAGCTAAGCGTCTGAGAAGAAACACAGTACACACAAATTATGGCAATAATGGTCCTGAAATCCCATGCTATAAATGTGGAAGACTTTTTTTAACGCAAGAGGGTCTTGCTAGTCACACTCGCCATCGTCATGGGCTGTGAGTCTCATGCCTCCTCCCAGCACAATATAACACTATCGTCTGGAAAGGTGCCAACCAATATTTTGTATTGTCCAGGTCAACCCGGTCTCAAATGGGTACCAGGTGATGTCCTGACAAGTTTTCTTCTTCTTGTCCACCAGCTGTAAACTCTGGTTGTTTGTCCACTTCTAGCCTTAAGTCCTTTTTTCTACAACTGTAGGATTGTATGCACAAGCTGGCTTATTTGTGAGCAGACTGTGTTCCTTGCTGTCAGCCAAATGCACTCTAACCTCAAAGAAAACACTAAAAAAGTACACTTTTATGACATGGTATTCGTGGGGGGGAGAGATGTGTCAATTCCCCCCCCCCCTCCCATTTGAGCCCAGGAACCCACACAGGAAACCTGGGAAGTTAAGGTGGCCGATGCGATGTTGACTACATCATCCACTGTGTGCTGACTGGTCTATGAAAAAATGAGCCTGGCATCATATGATCAAAGTACTACTGGCGTAAAAAGGGTGCTTTACAGTTTTACTTGTAATTATGTTATTGTTTTAACATCCCCCCCCCTCCCCCCCCCAGCAAATTATGGTATAAAGGACACTTAGCATGCTAGTAGTGTTCTGGGCATGTCTTGTGAGACCCATAATTTATAGACTCGGCACACAATGGCTGATGCAGTTAGCATTCAGATGGCCATCTTTACCTCCTAGGACATTTCTCCAGTTGAGAACGGGGCAATCTGGAGGAGAGGTCAATTATATAAAAACAAAATTATGAATAATGTTAAATTTGCTGACTTTTATTAGAACAATATCCAACATACCTTCATCTAAATAGTTCTAATCTTATCACATTTTAAATGTTAATTATTTTATTTCATAATATTACTTCATTCTATTTCTTATCAGTATCATTTATGTATCATTAGCACTTGTATTTCTTTTATTCCCAGTATTGTGACTATATTTTTTAGCCATCGTTATTTTATTTTATTTCATTTATTCCACATCACATTTTTTAAAACGTCGCTCACGATAGAGATCTACATACTCTCGATTCCTCGTTGGTGTAGTTCACTTATGTTTGAAAAAGGCTGCCTGGCCGAAACGTTACGTTGTATTGTGTTGTGCACGTTTTCCTCTTTCCTATTTTGTTGAGCTTTTTAGTCAAATTTCTCTGGAATTTTGAGTATAAATATAACACACATTATATTTCCACAGTAGAAGCTCTGTACAACACGAATTACCTTGAGAAGACAAAACGGTGTAATCACATTGTAAATCATATGAAAATAGTCTCCAATACTTGGTTTGTCCAGCGGTGTCCACTCAAGAGGTACCCACATCTAGAATTAAAAAAAAATTAAAAAAAATGATAAACTATGACAACAGTCTGTTACTTGTCCATTAAAAATTCATTCATCGTTCATTTTAGAGATCATCTTTAAAGCAGATTGGACTCTGGACATGACAACAACTGCTCTGATCCTCCTGAGTATGTCTCCAAGTGTTTTTAGGCTAACAACTCCCATTCTGTTCCGGTTGATGTGGCTTCAACACATTTTTCCTGTCTCGTGGCTCTAATAGGTTCGGATATTATACAAAGGAAGTTGAAAACAAAAAGACCCTTTCCATGCTATCAGTCACACTAGGCATACAGAGCTAAACCTATATTTTATAGATCTATTAGCACTTGGTGGGTGATGTGATCAACAACACGCTGACCAAGGATATTATATGCCTACTTAAAAATAGCTGTCCTCTTCTACTCCCGCCTGGCACACCTACAGTCATGTGTATAAATCGCCCTTACTGATTTTCTGAAACTGACCCGGGCTCTCAGGTCAAGACTGCTAGGTACAATGACGTGTAAATGTCACTTTTACAACGTGCCTATCAAGACTATTTACAAGACGTATAGTTAATGCATCTGTGGCTTAGGCCTTGCGAATGTACTTTGTAATGCAGGGGTGCCGGGTTTAATCCCTGCTGTGGATGATTTGTCTTGCATTGGTTTGGACAGGGTACCAAGAGGTGACAGAACAAAAACCAATGGAAAACTACTGAACGTTAAATTTGCCAAGAAAAACCACAACAGACAAAAAAATGCTGTGGTTGGTTCTGCAACGTCCTGTAAAGGATATGCAACTAATTTATAGATAATGCAATTACCAGCACAAATATTTAGAAGGTGAGAATATTAATTAATTAACCTAGCATTTAGAGGTTTTTCCTTTGTGGTAAATGGCTTTTTTAAAGCGAGGATGACATTAGATTTTCTCGTAAACCTCTGTGGCAAGGTCATGGCTTGAGTCATCTGATCTGTGTGTTTTTTTAAGACCCCATATTCTTTTTTTTATTGATTACTCTTTTCAGTTATTTGTATATATTACAAAAAAATCATTTTAAAATGGTGATAAATAAATTTTAAAACAAAATTATTAGTAACCTGTGTCAAAGTTTTTTTTTTTTTTTGACATTTTTTTTCCAGGAATCCTCATGGGGTCATGACTAATTTTTTTAAAAAGTTCTCGAAGTGGAAACATCAAATAGGTACCAGTAAATTTTTTTTTTCACTTAACTTCAATGAAGCATAGGCCCTTAACCCTGTTAGAAGCATAAATCTAGTCCCTTCCAATTGTGACTCAGTCCTGTAAATGCCTGTATATGGCCGTCAAATATTCCCAGCCTCAGTGATCGAGGTCACAGCATGTCATCTGATATATTTGTTTGGGTCTCCGGGTAATTTATTCCATTTTAATGCTTTACTTAGTTCATGTTATTAATTACCCCTTTATATATTTGAAAAAAAAAGGTCTATTAGTGACCTAATATGGTTGTTAAAGGATTTGTTAAAAAAAATCCCTATGGGTTCATTGCCCAATGTTTTTAGAATTCACACGGCAAAAGAGTAACCAACCCACTCCAAGTCATTGTATCCATTGTTATGACACCCATGTTCTCTCCACATTTTCACCTCTTCTCTAATGTTCATCTTTGTGTTTTTCTGTCTACCTTTGTTCTTTCGACCCTGTGAGTTCCTGTCTCTTCATTCACAAGAATTTACTTAGTTCTCTCTAAAAGTTCTACAACAGTGATTCTGTTACATCGATTAATTGTTTCTGTTCAATATACAGTGAGATTTAGCTGTCATGTGTAGGACGTGATGACTCCTTGGGTGAGCATAGCGTCAATTAACATTAAAGTCAACAGTATTGAGTCACTGCACTGGGTTTTATCACATGTGGCTCAGTTTCTCTCCACAGAATAGCTAGCAACTTGCTATCGTGTTGCATGAACACCGTAGCTCTGGCAATGACCCTAGGATTTTCTGTAAAAATTGCCCATGTGAACCGAACGACGGAGCCGTGAAATGAACCCATGACCTTCAGAGAATGATGAAAATGGCTTGACCACTTTGCTCAGTATCGGTGAATCAAGTTACAGCTCTGCATTTATGGAAGCCTCCTCAGATGGTGGGGAATGCCCATGTTCTGCCTCTGCATTCCCTGAGGACCATCCAGTTTGCATGTGACTATCCTGAATGGGCTCTAGGAAAAACACCTGTTGAAAAAGGAATAAAGAGGACATCACACAAATAAGGCTACATCCTGTCCCATGAAACCAGCTGCGAAGGCTAACCCAGTGAACAAACGCCTGATGAAGTCAGATGTGTCACACAAATATCAAAACTATACTGCAAACTTACACAAAACAAATTACATCACTTAAACAAATGATGATGATGAAAAAGAAATATGCTATTCTCAGTCTGTGAAAGTTTATGTATTTGATACTTTGTTCCTAGGTCAGATGTATTTTTAGCAAAAGTAAGAGTAATCTTCTGAGAGATATAGTTATTTTATAGCACAACAGCAAAGTTTAAGGTCACGTTTTTGGCAAACAAGAAAAGATAGCTAATAAATAAGTGTATTTGTCACAACTATGAGCTGGTTAATGACCTTGGATAAAGATATTATACATGCATTTTTTCTAGGAATAGTTTGGAAAGAATGCACTGCAGCAATTGATTCTAACAGCAGTGAAAATGCAATAATTATGTATCATTAAAAACATAGTTTTTCAAAAATTAAATAACCATACCGCTGCAATTGGACGTCCAAAGTCAAATAACCAGTTGCTGAGGGCTAGGATCAACCAAAGGTCATAATGGAAAGGTTGATCTGAGGTGGTCTGTGGTTTGATCTTGCTGAAAAGAAATATAGATGCCAGGTTAAGCTGCTGTCACAAGAGAAGACCTCGGTGACTGGGTTTTACAAAAATTACTAATTTAACTCCTTCATTACCTTATTTTGTTTTTGGCGTTTGGACAGCATTAATTTTGAGCATAATTATTTTACAGCAACACAACAAAGCTAAAACCTTCTTGAAGAAAATGTATTGGCTGTATAGGGACATATAGTATATCAAATTAAAGAGAAATGAGGGCAGAATAAATCTAAACTATTTAAATGTCAGTATTACAACAACATTTTAATTAAAATCACACAACATTCAAGGATGTTAGACACATATAAAGATTATTCACGCAAAAGAATTGGTGCTTACCTTACTTTTTACTTGTTCAGCAACACTTATTTCTAAGAATTCAAATGCATTCTCTGTTCAATTATGTATCAGCTAGTCTTTATTTGAAACAATTAATTTAAATACTCTGGATGTTATGACCATTTTTGTATGACATGTCAGATTTCACAAAAACCGAAATCGGGAAAACAGCTGATCAAAACAGATGATCTGATTGAAATATTTTGTTGTCTGCATCCTATACCTATTTATCGACACAGGTTTGGCACATGACATTATCAATCATAATATCAAGACTACTGTCCCTGCAAATGAACCAAAGTTAGAATGTCTCTATAAAGCACAAGTAAACAGGTCAATAGTCTGATCGAGATAAATTCGAACACCAATCAAATGGCGATTAGTCCACAAAGAGTTAAAGTAGTGATTATGTGAATAATTTAGCTTCATTTGGTTAAATAGATCCAAAAATTATGGTATAGATTTGTAGAAGCATTAGGGGACAGAAAATTATTTTGCCCTTTCCACAACGGAGACTGGCTGCAATGTATCCTCTATCTCTTCTATGGTATGACTCTCTTGACACCATCTGATAGCATGCGAACAGCCTTTATCTAAACCACCCACTGCAGGAATCAAACGCTGGTAAATGTTGAGGACTGTATTATGAATATATCCGTGTAAATTCTGGAGTCCCATTTGATTAAAAAATTAAAAGGGGGAGGCGGTGGGGTGGGGGGGTGGGGGTTGATCCACTACCCCAGGATATGCATGCCATAACAGGCGACTAATTAAAGATGTTTCCTTTGAAGGTGGAGTGCATCTGTCTGAGAGGCAGGGAATCAAGTGTCTGCATACAAATAAGCCTGATTTGTAATTTGTTAAATGAATGTACATGCAAACTGAAATTTTGGAACAAGACTAAAGTCCCGAAATGGATAGACTACCAGAAGAAGAAGAAGCAGCAGCAATCTTGAGAAGAGGAGGAAGCAATCTCCAATAGCATGTGTAAATTTGCGTGTGGATACTTATCCATGCACAGACAAAAGACTATTGAGAATCTTCTCTCTCTGTCTTCCTCTAGCTCTTTTTCCATTTGTCAGAGTGGTTTAAGTTTTTCTCTCCTGGGAACTGAAATGCTGCAGAACAATTCTTAGAATGCTGTGGACCAGGAAGAAGAAAAACAACATCCTGCATGACCTGAACATCAAGGAAATAGCATCCTTCCCCGAAAGCTGAGGTATTATTTTTGATACCTCCTTGATTTTCTTTTCATTCACTGGCTGTAACTACCAGAAGGCTTCTGGTTGTTCGCCCACCTCAGAACATTTGTCTTTTTCGCAGAACCTGAGTGTTGCCTGCACATCCGTTTCACAGATCTGGCTTATTTTTTTGCAGACTAGTAGCTCCTCCCTTCTCAGGCAGATGTACTCCAACATCGAAGAAAGCCCCGGGTTAGTCTATTTTTACGGCATGCTAGTTGGGGCTCTATTCGATAGGGCCACAGAACCCACAGGCGACTGTTTGATATAAGTCCACAAATCTTTAACAGATTAAGGAGGTATATAGAGGTACTACTCTTTTGTTTAAGCGTACTTCAATAAAATCATCTATGAAGCCTGGAGTCACTTTTTGGGGGCTTTTTTTACTAACTCCAGGAATCACTTAATTACATTTAAACTGGTTCATTACTAACTGTCCTGGATTAACAGCCGTACACATAAATTGATTCAATATAAAATCAAGATTTCTATATGTATTCTCTAGTGACAGTTTATTTGATAAGGAATGTATATGTTGTATGCAGGGCCAGATTTAGTCTTGATGAGAAATCACACCATCTGTTCTCAGGAAACTTTATATATATATATATATATATATATATATATATATATATATATATATATATATATATATATATATATATATATATATATATATATATATGCCTTTTAAAAGGAGTGATGGAGATATATTGGCAATTAATTTTTAGTAAAATAAATCATAAAGTTGTGATTGCAAAATTACATAATTTACATTATATAATCCTCTTAAAGGCTAAATTAAAAGAAAAATGCATTAGTAAAAAAAAAAATTAGAATTTATTATGGCCCCTGCAAAAAGTGAGACCCTAAGCTGCAAATCAGCTTATGCCTAAATGCAGCACTGGTTGCATACATGCATTTGTATTACATAAAGTGTCATTAACAGTGTAAAACATTAACTCTACCTGTTGGCACTTAGGACATCCTTGTTGTTATTGACAGGGTTATTTCTTTGGGATCTCTGTCTCAAGTTTGACCCTTTATTAGTTGCCATGTTACTTTCTGCAAACAGCAACCAAATTAACAATTCAAACAGTTCACTGTAAAATCTGTAGTAGTAATGATTTATAAACTGAAACAAAAATACAAAGATCTAGCCTAAACAAGTGTACTAGCTCAACTAGCTGTACTACACAACTATACTATTAGGCACTCTTCCGAATAATGTTATACCACACTCATTTCGATGGGGGCTAAATCAATACACATATTCATAATCTGTTTGTTTAGTGTATATACCAAAAAAAAAAAATATGTATAATATTAAAGGTAATTGTATGTGAACTACAAAACCTATCCTATGCTGGTAAAATTTTCGTTTTAACAGATTTACGTAAGAAAAGTACAAGTGATACAGTGATAGTGCTGAGTGTGCAGTTGCGATCATAGGGCGATGTCGACTTTACGGCCAGGCACCTGAAAAAAAGGATCGTTTAATTAAGAACCGAACCAGAATCTAGTTAATAAAAAAAATATAATTTAATTAATGTAATGATGCCGTTAATTAAATTAGAACCACTCGTTTCTAAGTAAGTACTTGATAGATGTCACTAGTGATTACCTTAGGAAAGGCAATTCAAAGTGATCCCTTCTCTACCTGTCTGAGCCAGTAATTGAATCAGTTTCGATAACCGCGAGACATGATAGGCAAAATTTAAAATAGATCAGCATTAGTGGGAGAAAACAAGCAGATCAGTTGTCAGCATGCATGCTGACCTAATTTAGATCTGTGGAGTGTGTTAGTTCACTCGATGATGTGTGTGTTTCAAAAGAGGGATAGGGGTGCGACATAAGGAAAACAATGAGCGTTCTTCCCTGTACACATTTGCATGTTAGTAAAGTATCTAAATTTTCGTAGTACGATTTCTATCCTAATCAAAACCACAATCCTAATGGCGACACTTTGTGTCACCGAGGGTTTTTATCTTTTTATCACCCGCTGTGCGGTCCTGTTGGGATTGAACGCCACTCTGTCAGTCAAGTGGCTGAGGCCCAGTGTTGCCACTTTTCTTTGACAAAAAATATCCAAAACGGTGTCAAAAAATATCTAAAAATATCTAAACCTGCGTGGAAAAGATCTAGAAAAAACATCCAAATTGAAAAAGTCAAAAATTACATAGCTTTTGTTATGACTTACCCTACATAATCATGTCCTCACATTCACTGATGTCTGCCTCACAAGATCCACAGGATAAACTCAGTTTGGATAATGAAGTTGAAGCTTCAGATCCAAAATGACCCTGGTATGCTTTAGTTGTTCAAATTTCTTTATAAGTGGAACAGTAGGCCTTTTTCTCTAGTCTCATCAGGCCGAATTTTAATGGCACGATAGCATTTAAGAGGTCAAGTTTCATCATGTTTTTTAGGTTAGATTTGATATAATTCCTAAACTGAAAACTCTTTCTACATCAGCATTTGAGTGGGGTAGTATCATGGCAGACATGGCACTTTAAAGAGCTTACAGAATGGACTGTTTGATGAGGCATCTTTAAATTGTCTGACTTCACTCTAAAACGCTTTAGTTTCTGTTTTGTTTGTCCATTCAGCTAACTTTATTTTGGTTAACTGATATTCTGCTTCCGCGACACTATTATCAGTAGCCCCTAAAATTGCATAACTTTACAATATTTAGGTATGTCCTTTATTGGCTGAAGTATGTTGCTCACAGAAAAAAGTGAAATATTTTTCAAAACATCTAGATTTTCAGGAAGTCTCTGCTTCAATTGCTTCAATAATGAGATAAGGAAATCTTGACAGCGTTTTCTTTTCTCTTCGTTCTCTGTTAACAGTCCTTTTGTTTTTAATCATCAATTTTTGATTCGATTTAATATCCAAGGTGTGGCTTAGGAGCCAAATAGCTCTCTATAGTGCAAGTGAGCAAATCAGCTTTAGAAGTTGGCAACACCAGTCTTTTACCGAGTGAAATAGCAAGGTGAGATCATCAAGTAATTCAACTTTATCAACAAGTTTAGATTGGAACAGTTTATTAACTTTTTGCACTTCCATTAGAATAGGTTATAAAAAGAGAATAAATAACAAATTTTTTTCATCACTGTACATTCCATGTAGTATTTCAGCTGTGTAGCACTTTTCACTTTGTCTTGTTACTTCAAAGTGTGTCTCCAACTTCAGCCATTGCTTCATAATTCTTTCAACAGCTGATTAAATTGAAAACCATCTAGTTTTGCAATCTGACAGAATTTTCAGTGGTGTGGAACCATCATTCAAGGCTGTATATAATGTATTGTATTGCTGTTGTCTGACAAATGATTTGGAAAACCAGTAAAGTGTTTCAGCAATAAGGTATTCCAAATTCCTTGGTAAATATTTAGATGAAGCATGTGATAATGCTAGCTGCAATGAATGATGCATACATTTTATAAGTATAAACGATGGGTTAGCTTCCTTCAACTTGGCATAAACGCCATTGTTTATACCAACCATCACTGAGGCATTATCAGTACCAATTACAGCCAAATTCTTCAAGCCTAACTGTTTGCTGATTAAAAGGTCCTTCAGTTCCTAAACTATACTTTCTACATCACACTTTTCAAATTGAACTAGTTCAAGATTATTTACAAATCGATCAAATGGTCACAGTTTGAAATTGCGCAGTGACAATTTAAAAACATTGCCACTGATACTTCAACTTTTCATGATTCATTTATCAGTATAGTTCTGAAAACAGATGTCAGCGGTGTAATATCTTCAAATGAAACTGCAGTTTTATGCTTTTTTAGTCTCTGCATGACTCTTTGAGTTTTGTATTTTCGCTTTAATTTCACACTTGCAGTACTTACAACAAGCTTTGGTCATATCCCCAGTTTTTAATTTTGTCATCATGCAACCACTCTTTCCAAATTTTTTGCTCATGTTTTACTTTTGGCATGTTGAAAGGTTTTTTCAAAGTGAAAGCCACATAAGAAGGTAAGCAATTTTTTTTTTTAATCACATGAAAAAGAAACGCAAAGTCAGCACAGTGAGGATACGGCTGAAACAAAGTTAGTATGATTTACGCGCGTTTTTATTAATCAGTACTGGGGCTGCCAGATATTTGTGCGCTGACCCCAGTGAGAGTTCAAAGTTCAAGTAATGGCAGTTGTCACAATGTATATGGCAGACCAAAACAAAAATATTGTAGTAAATATTTTACAAGGTAATTATTAAATTGACACTGAAAGAAAAAAAATCTATAAAATATCTAACTCCTTATGAAAAGATCTAGAAAAATATTTACGATCTAAACGTCGAAAACAGTATCTAAATACAATGAAAAAGATCTAAATTTGGATATAAAAGATCCAAAGTGGCAACACTGGCTGAGGCGTATTGAATGGCAGTGACAAACAGGGCTGCCAAATTTGGTACCATCGTACAAATTTAGGATACATATCATGGAATTCACCCCATCTCGCCGGACGCGATATTTCTCACAGGCTGTTCTATATTCTAGGGGAGATTTTTTGGGGTTATTTTCAACTCTTTAGCATCCTATTTTCTGCGCTGTAAGCGGCAAGCACTTTCTATTTTCCGTGTTGTCGGCTGCCGGCACTGGTGTGTGTTACGTGCGTTGTGCTTTCGCTCTTCATCGCTACCACTGCGTCGCAACTTTGTGACTTGATCTTCGCCATGAATTTTCTTCAACTCTCAGAACTGGTGAGCGACAAACAGAGTCGCCTTGCTTTTCTGCAAGGCCCACCCCTACCCCTTTCCCGACCAGACGGCCCTTTTCAGGGCACGCCTAAAAAAGTCAAATTCTCAAACCAACGACAGTTGCGCAAGTGACGTATTTGACAGAAATAAAAATAGTCGAACCCTCGCCCGCAAAAAAAAAAAGTCTCGCTCTATGTCACCTGTGAGAAAATATCCACTAACAACTACAAAGAGCTTAGGGGCGTCATGGAAGGGGGAGATGAGGTGGTAGGAGCCTCCTAAATTAGTTCTTCTAGTTGTGGGTGCTACCGCCTTTTTGGGGGTGCTGTGGTAGTTTATGGACTGTAACTTCATCGGTCACATTTGCTGGGCAGGACTAATCATAAGGCAGCGCTGGAGACAAAAATGAAACAGGACTGGAGAATGAAATGTTCTTTCACTCTCCTGGGTGATACCTGGCAATTAATTATAGCGTACTGGTTATACCACCTGAAGTACGAAGGCGCTGATAGATCATTGCGGTCTAAGGAGAATAGCCCTGCGAGGAGTTACCAGGGGATCTGGCCGATGCTTAACACTCAGGGAAAGGATGAGACTGCTATACAAGCAGACAGTTTCTGGTACCATCGGAATTAGAACTCTTCGTTTGCTGCTGAAGATGGAAGCTAAACACTTCAGGGAGTGTCCCGAGTGCTGTGATGTCGATTCTTAATTCAACATTGGTTAGACCAGTGTTTCCCCCCCCCCACTGCGGGCGATTTGACAGCAGACCGCCTTGCGACAGTGTCGACAGTGATGTCTAGCGCTGACCGTTTAGAAAGCAATGGCAATTTACTGAAAGTAAATAATGCCTAGTAAAATCACAAGTAGCCACAAAACGCCGGGGCTGGTTCTGCAGTCCTGTAAAGAATACACAACTTACTTCAAAACACACACACACACACACACGCACGGACGCAACACACACTCTAACATACACATACGAGTGAGGTTCAACTTCACCAGGACCGCAACACTAGCGATAAACACCCGGTGAGACAAAGTGCCACTATTCGGGTAAGAATCAACCGGACACAAGACCCAGATACCCCGTTCAACAGTTGGGTTATATTATGACCTCCCGACGACAGCCGGAGTAAGGCTTTAATATATATTTATATATATTTTACAATTGCCGCACTTTATTTCACAGATTTGTTATCGTTTAATTGAATCCCTGTCAGTTTTAATCACTGGAATTGTTATCTTAATCCATATTTAGAATTTAATTCAAATAAACTTCCTGGACAACCTATTTACACAGCAAGCAGTTTTGTTGTCAAGCTGTCTTATAATTTTTTA